GCCCGGGCCCGCCCGTGCCCCCCGTGGGCGCCGCTGAGCCCGCGCGGGGGGCTCTGCCCCTCTCCTTGCAGATGGCGCAGCCGTAGGGAGCTGGGAGCATGGCGGCGGACGGGGACGCGCTGGGACTGCCCGACACCCCGCACGGCGGTAAGGCCGGGTGCGCAGGCCGGGAAGGGCTTCAGGAGCGGCGAGGGAAACCGTTCTCAGAGCGAAACTGCAAAAATGAGGCTGGCAAAACACCGCCGCAGCCGTGGTGCCGCAGGAACCTGGCAGCCCGGTGTGGGCTGGCGCCCACGGCGGCGCGTTGGGTTTCTGGTGTGCCTGCGGGGCCGGCACCAGGCCTGTGGCTGCCGTTCGGTGCGTAGCTCAGCCTCTCGCTGTGTGAAGCCGCGCGTCTGGGCACGCCGGGAGGCTTTGGCTTTTCCCGCCGCTCCCGAGAGCCGAGGCGCGCTCCCCTGGTGTGTGCAAGCCCCTCAGTCACGGCAGTGTTGCTGCCGGCCCGGCACGTGATTGTCCTGACACCTGAACGGGAGGCTCCCGGCCTCAGGGGCACTGTGGGTACTGGCATTTTTCCGTACAATAACCACATTTGATTGCAGAGTTGGAGAGATTCAGATAGGGTGGATAAGAACAATGAGGGGCATCCCAAAAGGGATGAAGAGACACAGGTTAGCATGGAGCAGAGGACCGGTTAGTGTGTGAAGAGGTGATAATATAGCATTTTTTTTTCAGTTATGATACAGACCATTGTTTTATGCTATTTACTGAGAACTGTTTCTTTCAACAGTAATGACCTGTCACAGTGTTACATTTATCAGAATTTCTGGAGTCGTATATCTTCAGTTCGATATATTTTAGAAAAGGGTTTCAAACTCAGCTGAGGTTGGCTTAGCCAGTTTGTAATTTAAGTTTATTTATGTCTAAAGCTGTAAAATTTCCTTTGTGCTAAATTCTTGTAAAGCTTTTTTCTTCACAGAAGCAGTAGCTTGGTGGGTAAAGTTTCCCTTTCTCTTACTACTTAGTGTCTGTTTCTTTATTTGCAATGCTAGGTATAATTCATTACTCCTGTAGAATCATAGCTGTGCACATTTTATAGGCAAGTTAGACTTATTAAAAGGTTACATACATACACATGTATCTCTCTGTATATGGTATTTATGTATTTGGTTTTGCTTTGATTTAGAAGCTTCCCCATTTAAGGAGGATGATGAGAGCTCAGTGGATATCTATGATGGCTTGGACAACGGTTTGACAGTTGCTGGTAGGTTGAATGGAACTTGTTGCGGTTGGAAGGGACCCCTAGAGACCATCCAGTCCAACCCCCTGCTCCAGCAGGGACACCCGGAGCAGGTGGCACAGGGCGGCATCCAGGCGGGTTTGGAAGATCTCCAGAGAAGGAGACTCCACAGCCTCCCTGGGCAGCCTGTGCCAGGGCTCTGGCACCCTCACAGGAAAGAAGCTCTTCCTCACATGCAGATGGAACTGCCTGTGTTGCAGCTTGTGCCCATTGCCCCTTGTCCTGTCACTGGCCACCACTCAGAAGAGTTTGGCCCCTTCCTCCCTACATTCTCCTCTCAGGTACTTCTACATATTGATCAGATCCCCTCAGTGTCTTCGCTTCTCCAGGCTAAACAGGCCCAGCTCGCTTAGTCTTTCCTTACACGATTGATGCTGCCCTCCCTTAGTCATCTGTGTCGCTCGCCGCTAGACCCTCTCGAGAAGCTCCACGTCCCTCTTATCCTGGGGAGCCCAGAACTGCCCCCAATACTCCAGGTGCGGCCTCACCAGAGCTGAGGAGAGGGGCAGAATCACCTCCCTTGACCTGCTGGCAACACTGCTCCTGATGCAGGCCAGGATCCCATTGGCCTTCTTGGCCACGAGGGCACACTGCTCACTCATGGTTAACTTAGTGTCAACCAGGACTCCCAGGTCCCTCTCCGTGGAGTTGCTTTCCAGCAGGTCGACCCCTAATCTGTACTGGTGGCTGGGGTTATTCCTCCCCAGGTGCAGGACCCTGCACTTGTCCTTATTGAACCTCATGAGGTTCCTCTCTGCCCAACTCTCCAGCCTGTCCAGGTCCCTCTGGATGGCAGCACAGCCCTCCGGAGTGTCGGCCACTCCAGCCAGCTTGGTGTCATCTGCAAACTTGCTCAGGGTGCGCTCTGTGCCCTCGTCCAGGTCATTGATGAACAAATTGAACAGCACTGGGCCCAGCACTGACCCCTGGGGGACGCCACTGGCCACAGGCCTCCAACTGGACTCGGCCCCATTTATCAGCACCCTCTGAGCTCTGCCATCCAGCCAGCCCTTGATCCACATCACATCCACCTCACCTTGTCTTAAAGGTTAATAGTGCCTCGGTGCTTCTTAGGCTGGTTCCAAGCAAGGTGACAGTTATCTGTAAGACGACAGATCTATGAGTTTATATTTAGCTGATATTAATATAGTTACCTGTTTGTTTGAATTCAAGGTATTTATCTTCAATGTTGTACATACACAGCTGAGGATTTTAAATTCTATTAGGTGAAGTATTACGGCATAGTTTTCTTGTCATACTGACTATTTTAAGAGCCTTAAAGCATGTGTTCAGAAAGAGGTATAGAGAAACCTCAGCTCCTCTCACCATGCCATGACAGAGGACACTTGACCTTGGTAAAGGCGCTGTCCTCCTGTGGCCTTTAAATAGGTTCAGGACCAGATCTCAAAGTCACTGATCACTAAGTCAAGGCTGACAGGTCCAGTGTATGCATTGCTGTCATTGTTGTAAGATGTATTCACTATGTCCTCTTTCTGTTATTAATAATTTCACACACAAACATAAATTAATTTGGTGTTCCCTCTTAAAAATAAGACAGAGACAGACCCAGATCATGTTCTTTGTTAGGAGTCTTAGTGTCAAGTTCACTGAAATGCAGTTCCTGCCGTTGAACAGGCATTTCTGTACAGGTCTGTTGCTGAGGGCACTGGCACAGGCTGCTCGGACAGGTTGTCTCATCTCTGCCCTTGGAGGTGCTCGAAGGCCAGAGGTCTGGCAGCAGGCTCTAGGTGACGCTGCTTGAGCAGGGATGTCGGGTTAGATGATCCATAAAGGTCCTTCCCAATGTCTGCTGTTCCTTTATTGAATGTTCATGGAAAGACTAGACTAAATCCTACAGCTGTAAAACATATGCTCATGTCTTGTTCTCTTTTTTCATTTGTTACAGTATATGAGAATATATCCAATATTTCAGATACAGAAAAATATTGTTTAGTAAATTCAAAAGGTGCAAAAATGAACAACTTAATGCGACGCAAACATCTTGTGGATTACAAATGGTTTTACATGTTGTCTTGTGATGCACTAATATTCTTTGCATTATGTAGCAGCCAAAGACTGGCTGTGGTCAAGGGCTGAAACACAGCTTTGATAGCTGACTTATTTGTCTATAAATTAATCTAAAAATGAGAGGTATCATAAATCAGGTTCTGTAAGCAATGTGTATTTGATGAACGGAGCACACAGGCTGATCATGAAAAGACACTGACAGCAAAGTAATTTGGTGTGAGATTTTAAAAAGTAAAAATCTTCAAAACTAAATCAAAGGAGCTTAGGTGTTAGATGGAATGCAGAATAGAGCAAAGAGCAGTTTTTCGATGCAAGGAGCATTTCAGACACGTGGCAGCTGGTCCCCTCCCAGCTGTACAAACGTTGATATCCCCCGTTTCGTTTGGATCAACTGATCTGCGCTGGGGAACGTCGATGTCCCAGGCGTCCGAGTGTTCTTTTTCTCAAGCATGTTTTTCAACTGCCATTCTTTTAAAGGCTAAAATTGGTAATAAAATAAGTTACTTGCAGGATGTATATGTTTCTTCTAGCTTTTTCCTATCCAGTGGTGGTAGAGTTTTGAAACTTCAGACCACTGCTTAGATGAAGCCTTCTGTGCTTTGTGAATTAAGTAGGTTTCCTGTAAATCAGCTCTCCTTTGATTTAGAAGAGCACACCATCAGACTGTCACAGAAGACACCCACCTTTGCTTGTGATGGTCCTGTAAATCTATAATTTTTCTATATTTTCATCCTTTTATGTATTTGTATATGGATCGTGTTTTTCAAATACACTGCCATGAATGTTGAAATTGAGAATAAGAATGGGAATTTCCTCAGGTAAAGTTTTGCGTTTTAGAAGTATTTTCCTCTATGGCAGAGTGCGTACTAGCTAGAAACAATAGCTTTTTATTTATGTAATTCTTCCACTTCCATCTTCAGAGAATTCTGCTCCAAGTTCTACACCAACTGGCAACTCTTTAAACTTATTTGATGAGATATTAATTGAGGAAGGAACTGCAAAGGAAGCATCCTATAATGAGGTGTGTATTAATATTGCGTATATATATATGCATGTTTTTGTTGTTGTTGTTCCAAATATTGTATAATGTGCAAAAAAAAGTCTGCCAGTGTACTTGTATTACTGGAAAAGTGGGGAATCTCTTCCTAAATATGTGAATAAAACCATGAGTGTCCTGAGGCACTCTTGCATGAACAATTTTATTGTAGTAAGTAAATCCTTCACTCTAAATTTGATCTGCTCTCATTTGTTGTCCCTTTGCATGCAGTTTTATCTCTTGGGTTATGAGAGTTATTGTAATTCTTTTTCTAGTTAAAGGTCGGTTCAAATGTTTGATAATAATTAATTTTGATAATGAACTGATCTTGACATTTCACCAAGGAATTTTAATAGACATAGGCACATGGGCCGTGGAGTGATCTCTTGTGTCCTTAAGTTTTGTCCTCCAGACTGAAGACAAGTGTCTTATTTACTGCAGTAAATAACTGCTTCTAACAAATCAATAGAACACTTACTCATGTAGTATCATATATCCTGGTGCTTAAAGCACAACTTAGTCGCAAACCTGACGTTTGGAGTAAAAAAAGCAAAAATACACATATAAAATGTGCTATAGAAAGAGCAGGAGCAAAATCTACAGAAATCTACCAAATGATGAGATATCACTTGGGAAGTTGGAAAGCATTTTTCTGTCAACTTTGACAATAAAGAAAATGTGATCCATTCCTTTGTGAAAGTTTTGTAACTGTCTGATTTTAAAGAAGGGCTCATGTCAGAAGTTATATTTTTAATTTAATGTTAAATATTTAAGTTCAAGATCTCCACAAAAGCATGTACCTCTATAGCTAACTTTGAAGTATATTTTAGTTTCTATTGTGATCTTCCTCAACAGTTTTTTATTATATAAAATCTGTAAAACAACTCCTCTATCCTGTTGAAGACAATAAAACCACTTTGTTCCAGTGAGGTGACTGAGCCCTGGAGCCCAGAGGGCTTGTGGAGTCTCCATCCTTGGAGCTGTTGAGACTTGCGTGGAGACAGTCCTGAACAACCTGCTATAGCTGGCCCTGCTTGAGCAGGGTGGTGTTGGACTAGACAGTCTCCAGAGGTCCTTTCCAAAGCCAAATTTTCTGCAATTCTGTGATCTGTAGAGCACTGAGGACTGATTTTCCTGTCCTCCAATAAGCTTGTCTTTAATTTCACAATCATGTGGCTTCCTGTTGCTCTCTAGCCTGTTACTGTTGTGTAATCGTGCATCGATTTCCTCTTACACAGGTGCCTGTGACATGTTAGTGACTTTAATTTTAGCTTCTGTAGAAGCATATTGAGGTTTTCTGTTTTAATATGGCTTTATATAATATGTACACACTTTTGGGTTTTCTTTAAAAAAAGGCTTTATAATCTAAAGCTAACTACTAGTGTGGTTAATGATAGCTAACTACAAATTTAGAGGGGATTTTTGTTTACTGTTTTTAATTAGTCCACTTCTATATTGTGAATCCTTCTCTGTTTGACAGCTACGGGCAGAGTATGGAAAATGTCAACAGCAAATCAAAGAGTTGATGAAGAAGTTTAAGGAAATACAGGCACAGGTACAGAGAATGACATGGTCAACACTGACATAAAGCAAGCTGCATATTTCTTTGAGAAAGAGCTAATTGCATATTCTTGCAGAATTAATCCATTGTGTAGGGATTTCTAGCATGCATGACGGTTGCTGCTGCTAGGATAGTTGGTAGGATAGCATACTGGCAAAATCAGTACATAAATTCCCTTGTTTTCTGATGTTGCATGCAGTAAGACAATACTTGCTTAATTAGAAACTATCTAAAACTTGATAAAAAACTGTTATTGACTAAATCTTTTGTCTGCTTAATTAAAGGCAAGCAGATAATCAAATCAATAGTTACCAGAAAGGTATCTGTTTTCCTTTGCTGATAAAAAAAAAAATGTAAATTTTGCATTTGATGCTGACTTTGGAAGCAACAAATTGGGTAGAGGAATGAAACAAGGGGAAGGATTATACTTTTTAAGCCACATGGTTACTTCATTTGTGACTTAATTCAGTTTTGATAAATTTTATGATAAAATGCTAAACAATTAGCATTTTAGCATTATAAACAACAGCAGAAATCTGAAGTTGTTTATATATATTCTGTCAACAAGTATTTTTTTTCTAACAGCTGACTTGCGCTGATTTTCATTATATATTTGGATTTATACCCAAGCTAACTTTCTTATTTGTTGTATATATTTAAAAATAGAATGTCATTCTACAAAATGAAAACCAAGCTCTTAAGAAGAATATTTCAGCACTTATCAAAACAGCGAGAGTGGAAATTAACCGGAAGGATGAAGAAATCAGTAACCTGCATCAAAGGTACAGCTGGACAGTGGCATTTTACACATTTCTTTTTGTCCAGTCATGTTGATATACTTGTTATAAAGCTGCTTATATGTGAAGTAAGGAAGAAAATTGCTGTTTACTAAATAATTGTCTGCATAATTGAATATTGGTACAATCAAATGAAACACATATTTTTCTTTCTAGCTTCATGAAGTCTTTGGTTTCTGTTTAGGAAAACAAGGAGGAATCCTGAAGCATTTGCCTGATCTGTTCTTTAACTTGGTTTTACCACCCATTGTGTTTGGGTTGTTTAGCTGTCTTTCATGTATCAAATCAGATATTCTCTTGCATATTTCAGCTTCAAAACATAGTTTCAGACTGAAATTCACGGAAGCTTTTTTGACAGTAAATGAAAATAAGGGCTATAATATCTTGGTGAAAGTGCTCGTTGCGATGGTGGAAGATGGCAGTGAGAAAATTCGTGATAACTTCTGTGTATTATTAATCTTCTTGCAAATTGAAGAATAATAGTAAATTATTGGTGGTAGAGCAGCTGACTGTAACATTTCTAGGCTGTTTGATGCTGAGCAGGGAATCAAAACTCAGGAGCCCTGGCTTATATTCACACGATCACCTGCCTGTCACTTACGTGAACTCAGTCAAGCCATTTGGGGTTTTTTTGTACTTCAATTTGTCAGTTTGATATTTTCTGCCACCGAAAGTGTCATAAGGAGAGAGCTTGACGTGACATGTAATTGTTTCGGTTGGTTGGTTGTGACAAGGTAGTTTCACATCTCCATGAATAGTTTTCCAGGGCAAAAATTAAATTTTTTGAAAAATGTGTTCTTGTTTTGAATACTCACTCTAACCAAAGCATTTTCAAACTTATGCAACCTCTCCATGTATAAAGACTGCTTCAGAGGCCATGTCTTTCCAGGAGATTGTTAATGCTTATCTCCGATATATTCGGATATAACTACACTCACAGTATGTGAGTGCATGTTTAATTGCCAAATGAAAGCTCTGGGAAATTTTGGCAGTGTATCACAAAGAGAAATACAGGAAAGGGCTTTGGATTACAGCAAAAGCAACATCTAGTTTAATGGGTTTTTGGAGTGCATTGTTTTTTTTTTTTCTTTCTGTTTCTGCATGGATTAGCAGCAACTGTTCCTTCAAGCTGGTGTTAGTAGCGTGCATGGAATACTTTGAATATGTCAGAAAAGTGTCTTTGTTGTCTGGTGAAATAGCTTTGGTGTGTTCACCCTTAACGAGCTCAGGCCATACAGGCTGCATGTGGCCTTTTTTTATTATGATTATGACCTTGCAGCAGCATCACGTGGCCTTGATGAGCCTTGATTATCGTAATTTACCACTTGTTTTCCGTAGCTTGAAGCAAGTTCCAACCACAGTAGCTTATTTGCCTTTTGGGTTGACTGCCTATTGTTTTGTCTGCTGTTTTTTACGTAGTAAATTATTGAATGGCTATGGTTTTTAAAATCCCTGATGTATATAACAGCTTCTTCTAGGGGAAGACTTTCACTGGACAGTGACATGTTAATTTGCATTAACAAAATTGATAATTAGACCAATACAGCATTTTTCCACTGATCTTATTTTTTCTCTGTAGATGAGTTTTGTTTGGAAAATATGTATAGAAAGAATTGTTGTGGGATTTTTTGTTTGTTTGTTTTACTCAGTGCTAATTATTAAAATTCCATTTTATCCCCCATATCTTTCAACTGAGACTCAGAGAAAGCATGGCAAACGTTTAGAAAGACAAGGGTTCTTTATAATTTGGCTTTTGTTATTGCCGAATACATTTCACATCTCTGCAGTGACTTTGTCTCTGTGTATAAACAGGCTGTCGGAGTTCCCCAGTCACCGCGGCGGCTTCGCCCGAACACATCTCCCAGCATCCATTAATGGAAGGTGCCTCGAGGTGTGTAAATCCAAAGAGCCCAAATTCAGATCACCCGATGTGGGCGACAGTGTAAAGATGGATCACAGAACGAAAAATGACTCCCCAAAAGATGCGTATCACAATTACTCGTCTCATAACATGGACAACGGGAAGTGTAGCTCGGATAAAAGAAGCAATCCATATCTACTGAGATACCCTCCTGAAGAGCTCTGCACTGATGGTGCTCATAAACGTCTCCCAAATTATGACCACTGCTCCAACAAGGATAATAGGAAGGAAAGAAAAGAAATGAAAAGTGATGAACAGTATAGCAGGGGAAATGACAGCAAAAACAGAAGAGAAACACAGCAGAGCTACACCGGTAGCAATATTGATAGCCAGGATTCAGATCCTCATCAAAAGCTGCAAACACTTTCAGAGAAGGCAAGTAAAAATGAGTTGCAACAAAAAAGTCAGAGCACAAAACTCAAATGTAGTCCAAGTGCAGAAAGAAGGGCAGAAAGGGGGGCCTCTTCCTGGGAGAAACAAGCTACCAGCAAGGACAGGTTTCAGACAAGAGGTGAGTTGTATGCTGATGAGAGGTCACAAAACATGACCAAGAAGGATGTTAAAATGCATGATAAAGAAGAAAAAGGCTCTGGCCAGAAAAGTAAGCCAAATGAGAAGCAACAGGAGCAATCAAGGAGGTCTGGTAGAGTCAGCAGTCCGCACTCAAAGAACGAGCACTCCAAGAACCTACATGAGTCGCGTAAATGTCGCGTGGAAGAGTCTAGAAAAGCAAGAGACTCAGACTACAAGAGAGAGAGAGGAACCAACGATCATACTGCTCGGGAAGGAAGGTCTTCACCTTCCAATTCCAGCAGCAGAGAGCATAAACACGCACGCTCCAAGGAAAATAGCAGTAGACACGAATGGGAAACGGCACATTCAAAATCAGAGAGACACAGAACTGAAGAAAAAAGGAAAAGAGAGAGGGAGAGTCAGGATGAAAACAGACATTCTAGAAATGAAAGAAAAGTTACAAAAGAGACTTCTCACCAATCTTCCAAAGACTGTAAGAAAGGTGCAGATGTTACAAAAGGTGAGAGAAACAAGTCTCATAAGCCAGAAGAGGCATCCAGAGTAGCAGATAGTTTAAAAGACCACAAAGCTCCCAAAAGTAAAGATGATCTAACTGAAGCAAAGAGCAAAGACTTGAAACTCAGCTTTATGGAAAAACTAAATTTGACTCTTTCTCCTGCTAAAAAACAATGCCTTTCTCCAATGGATGGATTTGAAATGTCCTCCCAAAAGGCCACTGATGATGGAAGTACAGAGCTTGCCATGCAGGCTGAAGTCGTGGATTCTGCTACCTGTGATCCTGCCAAGCAAACTCATCCTGACTCACTAGAAGACCTGGACAGCGCAGCTCAGATCAGCCTGGAACAGACAGTGCCTCTTTCTGTGAATCCTGATCACGAATCCTTGAAAACAGCAGCAGCAGCAGCAGCAGGTCCAGCACAGCCTGAGGCTTTGGCAGCAGTGGCAGCTGGAGACGTGAGCCCAGGAGCCCTACCAGAAGCAGCAGAGGCTCAGGTGCAACCCCAGGCCTTGATGGGAACAGCAGAGGTACCGACCCCTGGTGAAGTGCAGGCTGGAACTCCAGCAGCAACGGCAGAGGCTCCTGATGTGGTTGAATCTGAAGCTTCAGCAGCAGCAGTGGCTGCCGTGGATCTGGATCAAGCTGAGGCTTTGCCTCTGGAGGCAGCAGGGTCTGGAGAGCTGCCTGTAGCAGCGGGTGGGATGCAGGAGGACAAGGTGCCGGCAGCAGCAGTGGCACCTCCCGAGGCTGCCAGTGAAAGTCTGGTGGCCCTTCCTGAGTCTGTAGCGGAGAAGGGAGAGGAAGATAAAATGTGGCTACCTACTGATAAAGAAAGCTCAGAGGACCGACATAGCTCTCCAAACCTGGCCTTACATGACCCAGAGGCCAGAAGTTCTAGTGACTTGGAGTCCTATGGTGTTGCTGGTGATAGTATGGAAACAAAACCGGACTGTTTAATGGAAGTAATTAAGGATGATGATCACTTGGCTGCAGAAAATGTTGAGTGTTCTGTTGAGAAAACAAATGTCTGCAAAGATACACCTCAGTCACCTGAGAGAACTGTACTATCTGCTAGGGAGGCACCAGTAGTTGACCAGAATGCCTGTGATCTGGAGCCAGACTTACCTGAAATCACTACAACAGCCTCTTGCCTTAGTGGTGAGACGTATCCCAGGACTAAAGAGAGGGAAACTAACCCCATTCCTGCTGACGATGACAGTTCAATACTGAGCATTGACCTCAATCACCTGAGGTATATTCCGAAGGCCATCAGCCCGCTCAACAGCCCCATGCGGCCTTTGGCTAAAGCCCTTAGGATGGAGAGTCCTGGCAAAGGTCTTGTGAAGAGCTATAACAAAGGTATTTGTGTATTACAGCTTGTCTTTTGCATCAGTGTTTAGAGTATGCTTCCATAGAAAGCAGACATCACTTTCTTTTAAATGATTTCTCAAACATACACATTTTTTTCTTATGCTGTATAGGTCACAATGGTCCTTTTCTTCTTTGGTTTCAAGTGGACTCAATAATGTAGTCAATATTTGAGCCAACTGAACATTAATGCTTACAAATTTGTGGTTTGCCACTACTTAAAGATAAGTGATTGAAAAGTTATATACAAAATACAGATTCAAAAATCAAAATACAAAATTCCAAAATCTGAAAAATGCAGTTGCCCGAAGCGTGGTGGCTTCTGACTAGGTTTCACTAGGTTCTTTCTGTGGGTTTGTAGAGGTGTAAGTCATTTAGGATCAGATAATTAGAAGTATTTATTTCAAGAAAGCTGGAGAGTATGTGACACTCAGTTTCTGTGAATGACTTCTCTCTCCAGCTGAATAAATTTCAGTTGGATTTTTAGATGCATTTTACAGCTGTGTGTCGATTGGAAGAAAAGTAAAAGAAATCACACATCATTAGGATATTATCACTTAATGAAGTAAGAACCAACTCCTGAACTATATCTCAAAGAGATAAAATGTGGCGGCACAGAAAGGGAGAGAAAGTAGGTGGACTTTCTTGCTTAGGTCTTTCCCTCGTGGGGATTTCAGTTTCTTGGAAGTTTTTAATTTCTTACTAAAAGGGGAATGGACACTGTGGAGATTAAATGCCTTTTCTTATGTTTCAAAGCATATGCCTGGTGTTTTTGCAAGTCTTAGTATGTTTTGTAATGCCATTCTGCCTGCTGCAATGAAGGCAACTTCTAACTACAAATTCCTTTAGCAGTAGCAGTTTATATTTCATTTCTACAGCAGTTTATATGCTTTGAAATTGCTGAGATTGCTATTAAATTTTGTGTGTGTGTGTGAGAACACAAGAGCTTTGAGAGCAAAGTAGGTGAATGCCTTTTTTTTCCCCATTTTGTGGTGTTTCCCTAGGTTACCTTTTAGAGGAACCCATCCTGTCCAGGGCTTGATACCATATTGCAAAGCAGTCATTTTAATTTTTCAAGTTAGATGCCTGGTTGTGTTTGTGACCAAACTGATGATGTTGCTGTCAACTGTTCTGTGTCCCTCAAACTGAGGAGAGACAGACCCTGGCTCCTCTTGGCCTCGAATTCAGCACTGCCCCTCCGGCTGTTCTGCAGTGCAGGGTTTAGGTGTTACTGCCTTCTTTCAGCTGCTTTCAGTTTGTGCCTTAGTTTCCTGAAAGACTGAAATGATTAGTATGAGAGGCTACTGTTAATTGATCCTTGTAAAGCTGAAATGGAGGCAGTGCTGGAATACATCTTTACTCTCAAGCATAACTTTAAAGCGGCAATTACACGTGCACTTCTGGGGAGAGGAATTTAGATATAATCTCATTTTTATCCGGTTAAGTGTTTGTTAGAGGTCATTAAATGGTCTGAATCCCATGCGATGGACCATATAGAGTGTTTTACAATATAATCTCCAGCAAGCCTAAGATTTAACAGCTACAAGGCATGGAAATGGCAGCACACTTCACAGGAATTGTTGTACACTGGAAACCAGCCTGTCTTTTCCTTTGTAATGTTCTGTTTTGTAGCTTATTGTAATTGTTTATTTTTCTTTAAAATAACATTTGCTTGGAAATTAAATTAATAATTAGATATTTAATGGCATCTCAAATATATAAATTATTTAATAAGCTTATTTGTGAGATGGAAGGAAAAAGAGACACTAAATTTGACAAAGCTTGGGCTTTTCATCTCACATTTCTCATTTCCCCATTCCTATTAATCAGGAACCTGAACTGGAGGCCAATAAATTCATGAGAAAAAAAATTTTCAGTGTGCTTATGATGCTGGTCATCTTAAGTGCATCAGAAACTGAAACAGGACTTGACAGGGTGGGTTTCTTTAGTAATTTTGTTTATTGAAAGACTTAGAATCAAGTCAATCCTTTTTATTAGCTCTGGAAAAAAATGTATAGAGGCGTTAACTCGTAATGATATTAAAACTGAATGTTGTGCAGTGCCAGCGTCTCTCCGAATTAACAGAAAGAAGCTCAGAGCTGATGGAATACTTTTTTTTTTTTTTTTTCTTTTTCCCCCTATGCCCTCCACTGCCTTTTGCAGTCCTGGAAAAAAAGTGTTACTGAGCTGAAAAGAAAACTCCTCGCTGCCCAAACTCGTAGCTGAAGATCAAATTTGCTGAGTTCTATTAGGCAGTTTTAAACGAGCAGTCACCTCTCAGACCTGAATCTTCCATGTTTTTCTTAAAGTATATGTTTATAATTGTGTTCTTTAGGGAGATTATCAAACTGTTTTCCTTTTATAGATATAATTCCTGAAAGTACGGTTGGCGTCTGTCCCTCAAAGAATTTGTCCAAGGAGGTAAACAAAGAAAATCAAAAGCCAGTTAGCATGTCTGGTGAGCACTTGGAGATGGAGTCCCAGCTGAGCATCTCCTCAGACGAAATAGAAGAAGGAGAAATCATAAGCAGTGATGATGAAGAAGAAAAATCGAAACCAGAAAGAACCTCTGAAAATACAAAAAAATCAATGCCCAGAACTTCTCCTGAAACGCGCAATTTGACCAGCAATCCACACAATCAAAAGAGCAAAACTGTCTGTGGCAATGAAGACAGTGGAAAGTTTGTTTCTGTGAAATTAAGTACAAAGAAGAACAGAGAGAGACATAAAAACCAGACGTTCAGCTCTTCGAAGGAGATGAAGAAAAATAAAACTGTGAGCCTTGCTTGTCTGGAAAAAATGGTGCAAATTATTGCTGAACCTTCAACTGTGCAAGAAGTTATGCAGATGTTAAGAGCTATACGAAAACAGGTGAGGAAAAACTACATGAAGTTCAAGGTACATTTTCCAGTTCAACACTTTCACAGAATTATAGAATCTGCCATTATAAATTTTACATCATTAATAAAATACTTGAACTTTTCCAAGATGTCTACATTAGGTGAGACTTTAAAATTGAATCTCTGTGATACGATAGAGTCCAAACTCAAGCAAATCAAGAAGAATGCCATAGTGGATCGTCTTTTTGAGCAGCAAGTATCAGATATGAAGAAACAGTTATGGAAATTTGTAGATGAGCAGCTTGATTACTTATTTGAAAAGGTAAGGAGAACTTTAATAAAACTATGTGATGCAGTAAACATGGGAAATGACGCTGAGGAAGGGAAGTTTGAAAGAGCAGGAAAACAAAAACACAGAATTGGTCACAAAAATGATGTTCAAAGGTCGCAAAAAAAATCCTTGAATGCCAGATCTCAAAAGACTGAGGAATATATCCTTTCTAAGCCAGCTGTGGATTACCAACCACCTAAAAAGTGTCACCATGAGAAGAATAAAACTGATGCACCAAAAACTGTTTTTACAAAATGTCTCAACTCCATCGATAACACAAGAATTTCCCAAACCAAAGTGCAGCCCCCTAGGGAGAATAATTTGCAAGGGGCTCTCACTCCACTGAAAAGTACAAGACACGAAAAGGAAGGATTTCAGCTAGCCAAAGATGCTAACAAGTCTGATCTTAGTTACGATCTTCTCACAGAACAACAAGCCTCCAGTCTTACATTTAACCTTGTGAGTGATGCTCAGATGGGTGAAATTTTCAAAAGTTTGTTGCAAGGTTCCGATCTCTTGGAAAAAAGCGGCAGCAATATTGACAGACATGAATGGGAGTTCAGGACACCAGAAAAACAGCTTTTGGAAAGTCAGAAGTGCAGAAGTAGTAGTGCTGTATTAATTCAAGAGATTGCACCAAAGGAGGCTTCTGTGGAACCTCGACCCATAGAAGATATTCACTGGCCTTTGGTTTCACCTATAAGAGCTCCTTCCTTATCATCCAGGCTTCAAATGTCCATCGACCCAAACGTGCTAGATGAAAGCTGTATGTTTGAGGTTCCTACAAGTGCCGCCTCGTGCAAAGAAGATGAGTGCAGCTTACAAAAAACCAAATCCTTTGTTTCTTCTATTCTCCTTGAAGATTTGGCTGTTTCTTTAACTATTCCGTCACCTTTGAAATCAGATGCTCACCTCAGCTTCCTAAAACCCGAGAACACCTCAGGCTCCACTCCCGAGGGCGTCCTTAGCGCCCATTACAGCGAGGACGCGCTCCTCGAAGAGGAGGACGCCACCGAGCAGGACATCCACTTGGCCTTGGAGTCGGATAACTCGAGCAGCAGGTCGAGCTGCTCCTCGTCGTGGCCGAGCCGGCCCGCTGTGGCCGGGTTTCAGTGCCGCCCGAGCCTGCCCATGCAGGCCGTGATCATGGAGAAGTCCAACGACCACTTCATCGTGAAGATCCGGCGCGCGGTGCCGTGCGCCGCCCCGGAGCACGTGGGCCTCGTGAGGGAGGCGCGGGCCTCCTCGGCCAGGGGGGAACGGGGCGGTGAGAAGAGGGAGAGCCCGCGCACCGCAGCAGCCCCCGGGCCAGGAGCGGCCACGCCAGGGCCGAGGCAGCCTGCGGAGCTGCCCCACGGCCCTGCTGGGCAGGAACAAGGCGCTCGGCCAGCGAGGGAGTCGCCCGAGGGTGCTGGAGAGGACGAGGCCGCTGCTTTGCTCCGGCCCCCTAGGAAACCTGCGGACACAAATAGCCCTGGCACAGAAAGCCCTAGTGAGGATGGCGAGAGCTCTCGGATGCGTGAATTTAAAGTACCTGGGAACGTAAATGAAATTGCTGTTGGATCCACAGCTGCTTTTCCCGTTGGATGCGGTGTGGAGTCGTACATAGACTTAACAGGTGATATCGTTGATGAGAACTCGTGTCTTGCAGGGCAGTCTCCTGCAGATAGTAGGAGTCAGGAAACTCCTACTGGGAATGCAGAGATTGGTGATAAAAAGGATGAACTGGAGGAGTGCTCTGTTGATGCCTTTATAGACTTGACAGAAGAGCTTTCCAATGAGACTGTGGCAGGTGAAGGTAATCTGGAAATAAAGCCCACTTCAAATACTGATGCAGGATGCCAAATAAATACAGATGAAAAAACTAGTAAAAAAAGGAAAAAAGATTCTGTGGTATTGGACAATTGTAACTCAAAAAGACAACGGAAAGAAAGCGAGTCACTGGGTGAAGGGAATGATGGAAATGACGCGAAATCTGAAGGGATAAATTCAGTGCCCAGGCGATCTTCCAGCAAGAAGCATGAGTTGCCACAGAGCAAAGACTCTTCTCCTTCGGCTTCATCTGCATCATCGCCTAGTCTGTATGCCAAAAACATTGTCAAAAAGAAAGGAGAAGTAGTAGTTTCCTGGACAAGGTAATGATTTTTTGTTTTTATTTAATTTGGATATTCGCTTATTTTGGCAACTGGTGCATTCAAAAGTGGGAGGAAAAGGGAATTCAGCTGATGCCTGGTTATTCAGAAGCTTTGCATCGGTGTTTAAATGGTAGTGTAAGAGCCCGCTCCCTCCTCTGTGGGATGGTGTTACGAGACTCCGCTTGGAGTGCCATTGAATGGTGCCAATGTCTGTTTTACCCTTTTATCTATAAAGCTTGTCCAACAGAGTACAGATTTGAGGGATGCACTCTTTTCACATAATTCTGTAAGTAGCCTTTGGAAGGGAATGATTCTTAATAATTTCCTAGGTAGAATTTACTTCCCTATCTCAGAACTAGTTTCCTGGCTTGCCTAGATTTCCCTAAAGAAGACTATTTTTGTGTTTGCTTTTAAAGACCTACATTCTAAGGTAACAAGATAGACTATATCGCACCTCTCTGGTTTTTTGTCTCCTCTGCCCCTTTCTTACTCTCCTCAAAAATTCCAGCCAAACTCGATGGAAGTCATTGGTCTTCCTACAAGGCTTGGCAGCACTGGTGACTGGGTAGAGGAGGGCAGCCAAAGGTTTCCCTCTCTGCAAGAAGACACAACAGCAAACAGATTTTTGCTTTGGGGTCTGCACCCCTTAATCTGCACACATTGCTGGTCAACCTTTCAGCCTGTAGATTGGTTGAACCCCCTCCTCGTAGGCAGTAGTTACTGCTCAGTCAGCAGGATATAGGAGGAAAATCATGTGATTGTAGGTGCTGGAGATAAATGTTTAGGATGCACCTGGATTTTATCTGGTTTAGTCTTTGTCCATCTTTGAACAGATGCCTAAAAAGATTGAAGAGTTTCTTTAAATAATTAGCTGTGACATTTTTATTTGAAAATAGAGGCTATTTAGTTAAATATGACATGTTGTGACATGATGTGTTTGAACCAAAGGCACATTGTAGCTGCTTTATACCCACTGAGCCTATGAACATTTTACAGATCCTAAACTGATGAATCAGACAAGGAGCACATCAGGGACACGTTTGTGAAGAGGCTCCCTGTCCTTTCCTCTCTTTTAAGCAGCAGAGGAGCTCTGACCCTGTCACATTAGGGCCACTCCTAGGAGTCAGGAACCTCTCTGGTTGTCCGGTGACACTCAGTGGGCTCTAAGTGAGAGCTGGCTGGGTAGCCACGCAGGGTATGGATGGTAGCCCCTCTTGCTGGCCACAGCTGAATTTGGGAGCTTCCTTAAGTCAGGTTTAAGCTTCTGCTCTCGAAGCTTGAAGTACTCTTGCCCTGGGTGTTTGGGGTGCCGGTTGCAATGATCCTGCATCCTGATCCTTCATGTTTGCTCCTCTCTGCTGCCTCTGTAGTTCTGTGCCAGTGAAAGGGAGGTCAGTGAAGCTCGTTGCTGAAATCATGTTCTGGAGTTGGGATTCAGGATTTTAAAAATATGCATATGCATTATTTTGTTAGTGTGCATGCACAAATATATATGTATTAATGTTAAAAGGAAATATATTTTTGCTGTAGAAATGATGACCGAGAGATCTTACTGGAGTGTCAGAGAAAAGGACCTTCAAGCAAAACTTTTGTTTCCTTAGCCACTAGGTTAAACAAAAGCCCAAATCAGGTAGGTGTTCTGAGTCTTAGCCTTTATAAGAATTTTGTTTCTGATTACAATTGAACAAATACTATTTTTGGAGCTCTCCTGTCAGTTTGGAGTTATGTGGAGTTATTCACTAATGTAACTGTTATATGGAGTTATTCACTAATAAGGACATGGTCGTTTGATGGTGATCTTGAAATAAAAATCCTAGTTTTCTGGCAGTTGTAGCTTCTGAAAAATATATATATATAGGAGATATTATGGTCCAAGAATTAACTTCCTGTACTTCAAAACTGCTGTGTTCAACTACAGGCCAGGGAAGACTGTACTGTTATGTGAACATGCATTCATATCCATTGTGGAATATAAGCAACAATTGGCTCTGGCTCTCTGTCATTAGCCTGAAAATTACTTCAGATGGCAAAGGGATAGGAAAAGGTCCTGAATGCTTTGGAGCACAAATCCCACTAACTTGTTGATTGTGCCCTTGGAATTTTTCCCCTACAATTTAATAGAAAAAAACATAAGGAACAAAATCGTGTTTAAAAAAAAAAAAGTCCTTGGGCTGTCAGAGTAGCCTTGGTAGATCTGGAAACCCGAGTTATTAATAATATGCCCTTTTTTGTCTTTCAGGTTTCAGAAAGATTCAAGCAGTTAATGAAGCTTTTCAAGAAATCCAAGTGCAAGTGAACTTACCTCCAAGCTGCTCTGTGGCTACCAGGTTTAGCTGTTTTCAGCAATGAGAGTGCAACCACTGCATGCAGGTGGTGGGGCGAGCGGAGGTGTCCAAGTCAGAATCCTTAGCCCAGGAAACCTGGGGCACTGTTAGTTGTTTACTTCCCTGCCCACATTTCCACTGAAGTGCTTTATCGCGTGTCGGATAGCTGGAAAATCAGACTAAACCACAGGCTACCTGAGGAAGGGTGTGCACGTGCAAATAGAGCAGTATCGTTTTTAGGAGGTCAATCTTCTGTTGTTTAAAAGTGCTCTGCAAGCACAAGAAGCATTTCATCCAGTGAAAAGGGTGGCTGTTCCTTAACTTGTGAGAAGTGCTGTATGTGGAACGACAATTCCAGGCAAAAACAGGAGTTCTTGGAAACTAGTTGGTGGGTACTCTTAGTTGTTAGATAATCCTAGCAAATAATAAATACATCATCTTGGTTTTCTGCAACATGGAAACTGGTACTTTGAGAAGTTAGGTCTTGTTCTTTTAAAATCGGACAGTGCAGGGATAGTCATAATTCCAAGTGCTCATTACCTGGTAATTGGATGAAGATGGCAAGGAACAGGTGGTTATTGCTATAGGTGGACTCCGTAATAGGTGGACTCTTGTTCATAATCTGCTCTGAGGAGGGAATCCAGCACCGTGTGCAGGGCTTGCCTTCAACCTTGAGCATCTTCTCCAAACCACTTCTTTGTTACTCCAGTGTTCAATGGAAAGAAAGGAATGAATTCCTCTCTCAGGGGCCCATCTCCCTCCTCAGAGAGAGTGAAGCCAGTTATTAATGCAGAGAACAGTTTTTTAGATCCTTTTAAATATTAATGAAATTTTAAAATTAGTGAAATACTGGTGAATAAGGAGCATTAGTTTACCAAGGATTGTCTTGCAGTTGAAAATATTTTACAGTTCTGATGACATTTAAATAGACGTAGTGTTGAATTTTGCACAGTTGAATAACATTTCTTTCAGAAAAAGTCATAGGATTTGGGGTTTTTTTCAAAAATGTTTTATGTTTTGGAAAGAAGTTTGTTCTTTTTCTGCAGATTACATTTGGGAAAGGCACTTAAATTTGCTGAACTTAACTGAAGTAACTTGATAGGCCTTCTACATGATGAACATTTTCTTTTTTTGAACAAAACAAGAGCAGCAATCCATTTTCTTAGTAATAATTTGGAAATAGACCTTCACACGTTTATACTTAATAACCAAGAGACATATTTTTTTATTACTTTTTTTGGTAAAAGCAAGCATTTCCAAAAGCCTTATTGACTTGTTTGGACAGCAGCATTTCTATCCTTGCAAATTATTTAGTGCCTCCAAAACTCATGATTCCATCTCCCTAACTTGGCCAGAGCTTTGTTGGGGAGCAGCTCCACCTCAAAGCACCATTTTTTTTTTTCCCTTCGTTTCCCAAAATCCAGTGGCCACTTGCTCAATTTCAGGATGGGGCCTTTCTGGCACCTCCTGAAGACTTAGCGACTGGCGGGAGAGACTCCTGGTTCTACAAACTGCTGGAGAGCTGAGCAGTGATGGTGCCCCTGGCGCCCTGGGGGAGTTGTCAGCCTGCCCCATGGCAGTGGGGCTGTCCTGCTGCCAGACGGTGCCTAGTCCTCGTTTTAGCTAGTGCTCTGGAACATGTTAGAACTACACAAGTAGTTTCTGATGCCAACTTTGGCAGTCTTCCCTCTTGTAGTCTTGCTTCCCAAGCACTTCTCTTTGAGGATCAAGTCTTCTGCAGTGCCTAGCGACGATCCCAGCTGCAGGTTTGCCTGCTTGTCCATGCTTGCTCTACACAACCCTTTAATGACAGCAGTTTGCTTATTAGAGATTTAGACCTAACTGAAACTGTTAGTGTTTATGCCCGGACTTAGCTAGTATTTGTTTCCCTTAACAATATTGTTACAGAGCAAAATGTGCACTGAAGGGAGAGTAGCCTTTCTTCACCTAAGTGCTTCCTCTCTCCCTGTCTCACAAAAGCAGGCAGGGTTTTACTATGAAGTCTTTTATTCCTTGCCTGTGTTTATTTACTTTGGTGTTTGTATAGGTGGAGGGAGCAGGGAAATTACTGTTTTGCTTCTGACTTGGATTCCTTTTTTGTAAATTATGAAACTTTTTTTTAATGTTCTGTCTACTGTAAGTATGTGTACAGGTTCTTATATAGTCATGTAAAATATCAGATATGTGTGTGTATATATATATATAAATATATGTATAAATATAGAGAGAACTTTGTTTAGCCAAAGATGATTTTTTTTAACTATATGAAACTCCAGGTTTATTTTGTATAAACTAGTTTGCTTACTGTAAGAGTAATGCAAAGAATAAAACTCTGTAAAGTTCATCCACTTCTGTCCTTGTTGGACAAAGGTTGCTTTGGAGTGTTTTTATAACGTTGTTTGTAATTTATTTCTTCAATGAGAATTTTGATACATATTTTCAAGATGTACTGTATGTAAGTTAATCTACATTTATTTGTGAAACCTCAGGTAAATGAAAACATTCTCTAAAACTGTTGGCCAGTGTCTCGGAAACTACGACTTCTGTGAAGCAGCATTAAAAGTGACTTGTGTTAGTTTGTGTGCGTGAGTTGCTGTGTAGAAGTTCTGGGCAATAAACCTGGAAGTTTTAGTCTTAGTTGCTGCTCTGATACCGTTTCTGCTTCAATTGCCTACGGCTTCCTTGTTAGCAAGCAACAGCACGTATCTGCAGAACAACGTCAGAAGTTGGTTTATTCAACAGAGTACGACTCAAAACCTTCCTTAAGCCATTCGTGAATCGGAAGCTGCTGTTCTTTCCTGTTCTTTCCAAAGTGCTGCTTTAGTGGTGGGTGAAACATCACGGGGGAGAATTCCTTGTACCCGGGGCTTTTGATGTGGGAGAGTAGAGTTTGCAGCCTGGTAAGGGTCTTACTCTGGTTTGCTCTTGAGGAATAGATCTGCTTCTGTCCAGCACATGGGTCTTTCCAAGGCTCAGTTTAAGGACGTTAGTTGTCATGGGCCTTGGAGACTTTCAAAAGTGGAAATTAAGTGAGCAGTGTTTATGGAGAGCTTACGTGTGTGCTTTGTACAAGCCATGGAGGGGATCTGAAACCGAATTTTGAGGGATCCTTCTCAGGGCCAAGTCTGTTGCCAGTTGACTCTCTATTGTATAATAGTTGACAGGAATAAAGGCACTTCTCTAAGCACAAGAAAATTATTTGCTGCCTATCCTATAATTTCTTTGCATTAAAACTTGCCACACTTTGTCTTTCCTCAAAAAAGCTGGAAAATAATCTTCAGCAGTTGATGTGTTTCTCATTTCTTCATACCAAGAAATACTCCTTGGCCTTCTTTAAAAAAAAAACTGAAATTCATCAAGGGGCAGTTCAGCAACTGAATGAAAGGTGCGTAAAAGGTTAGTGGTCGCTGACACCTCCTTCCCCATCGTAGTTAAAAAGCATGTACTGTGCAACCAACAGTAAACCCATCTGAGTTACAAAAGGTAATATATGAAATAAAACTGGTATAGAAGAACCTTAACAGCAAGAAAGTCTGCTGTGGTGGCTGAGTGTCTGTGCCCGTTCTGAAAGCTGGAAGGAAGTCACTCGCCTGGTTTATTTGTCACTGGAAAGGTAGCCACAGAAGGAGCAAGTCTAGTACTTAGTAATGCAGCAAAATAGATGTTATCTAATGTTCTGAACTTCAGGTTGTAATATATTAGTATATGCAAATGCCTGTATAACAGAAAATCAAAACTAATCATATATTTATTCTCCTGATTTATGCATCCCTGATGTGAGAATGGCAAAATCTGCAATGCCATAAAAGTATTCAGAGCCAGATTTTCTGTATGTTTTGAGGAAGTGCTTGGTGATAGCTGCCACCTTCCCTGGGCCCAGGAAAACCAAGCCCATAAACCAGCTGATACTCTGAGGTCCGAGTGGCAGTGCTGGCCCGTTGGGCTGGTGCTGCTGCCTGGTGAGAGGGACAGTCACAGAATCAGAACAGCTGAGGCTGGAAGGGACCTTTGGAGACCATCTAGTCCCAATTGCCTGCATGGGCAGGGTCAGCTGGAGCACATTGCCCAGGACTATGCCCAGAAGGGATCTGTGACAGCCCTACAGGAATGTGCTAATCCAAGCACAAGCTGCTTCTGCAGTGGGAGAGGAAGCATGTCCTCCAGCAGGATGAATAAATTGCAGCAGATGCAGTCCCTGCTCCTTTTTGAGGGTCTTTGCACTGAGCAGAGCCAAGGAGGAGGGATGAAACACCCGAGAGGGCTGGAAGCAGCTGGGGAAGCAGCGTAGGGCTCCCAGGCCTGAGTGAAAGCTGCAAGGTGACTGAAGCAGCAAGATAAAGCCTTGAAGACTTAAAATGCATAAAGAAAGCACTTGTTACCAGTGAAATGCCAATATATGGCAAACGGGACTGCATTGTGCCAGAGAGAGAGTGTGAGCATGTGGATGAGGAAGGCCTAGGAGGCTTGGGTGGATATTACTGTGTTTATTAGGAGCACAAAGTCTAGCCCTTGCTACCTTAAAACATTTGAAACACATGCCTATATAATGTATCTTCTGCATAATAGAGAGGCTGCAGCTCCTTTACTGCAGGGAAAGGCTCTGAATACTTATTCAAACATGACTTTAAGAGAGACCAGTACAGCTTATGCTACGAAAGATGCATTGATACATAAATCTGAGATAACCACAAAGAAGTATTGCTACTGTGGGGTATATTAAAAAGGGACAGTGGAAATGTCTTGGCTACTGGTTAATGGGAATATCTTTAGGGAGGAATTGGGAATCAGTCACGCAGCTTGCAAGACTGAAGCATGGCAAAGGCACCTTGCAGTAGCACATGAGGCAGCAGCCCAGTCTGATGAGCCAACAAGAGAGGCGGGCAAGTGTCGGGACGGAAAAGTGCTCGAGGGTAGGAAGGCTCTACAGAGGGATGTGCACAGGCCGAATCGATGAGCTGAGGCCAGTCGTATGAGATTCAGCAAGGCCAAGGGCCGGGTCCTGCACTGCGGTCACAACAAGCGCATGCAGCACTGCAGGCTTGGGACACAGTGGCTGGAGAGCCACACAGCAGAGCAGGATCTGGGGGTGTTGGTCGACAGACAAGTTAACGTGAGGCAGCAGTGTGCCCAGTGGCCAAGAAGGGCAGCGGCCTCCTGGCTGGTATCAGGCAGCAGGCCCAGGGAAGCGCTCGCTCCCCTGCACTCAGCGCTGGTGAGGCCGCACCTCGAATACAGTGCTCAGTTTTGGGCCTCTCACTACAAGAAAGACATTGAGGTGCTGGGGGGTGTCCAAAGGAGGGCGATGAAGTGGGTGAAGAGCACAGACCTTGTGAGGAGCAGCTGAGGGAGCTGTTATCTAGTTATCTAGTCTGGAGAAGAGGCTCCGGGGAGACCTTACTGCTCTCTACAGCTACCTGAAAGGAGGTTGCGGTGAGGTGAGGATCGATCTCCAGAATAGCTACAGATAGGACAAGATGAAATGGCCTGAAACTGTGCCAGGGGAGGCTTCTACACAGAAAGAGTAGTCAAGCATCGGAACAGGCTGCCCAGGCAAGTGGCAGAGTCACCGTCCCTGGCAGTGTTCAAGAAAGGTGTAGGTGAGGCGCTTGAGGACGTAGTTTGGCAGGCAGAGTGTTGAAGGGCTTATGGTGGAACTCGGTGAATCGAGAAGGTCTTTCCAACCATAATGATTTTATAATTCTATGATTCTAAGTGTGAGAGTTCTGGAGCAACGGCAATGAAATGAGATATTTCATCCCATGAGCCACCTAGCTCCCAAAACACTACCTGCCTGGGAGAGGAGCTGCAGTCCTGCTTAAAAGAGCAGCTGCCAAATAGCTCTTAACCTCATAGGACTTAGAGGAAGGAATCTCTGAATCACAGTCAGTGTTAAGGACACACTAAAATTAAATGCTTATGGATATACTGGAAAAAAAGCTGTGCCAGACACCTGTAGAACTTAATGATCAAAAAAGTGCTGGTTCCCTTTAGGCATTTAGGAATTCAATTTTTAGGCATTTAGGAATTCAATTTAAGCCTCTCAGTTTAGACTTGGCTGGGGTTAATCACACAATGTTTTTAGTAACAGAACCTCTTATCCAGTGGCTCTGATTTCTCCCCTGGTCCAACTTAGGGAACTCACCTTGTTTTTTCTAGATCTCATCTCTCATGGTCAGAGACATGAACTCTGCACTGTCCTCGACAGGGCAGCGTCCTCCCTCAGCCAAGGAAAGGTTACTGTGTCCAAAGCCCTTGTTTCTAGCTGGAGACTTGAGTCTCGGTTGCTGTGGCCTCCATTTCCAAAGACTCGGCCTAGCACATACTAAATTAACGCACCAGGCAACAGACTATGAAATCGGACATGACCGATCGATCCTTCGGCATTGATTCAAAGCGAAACTAATGGAATGTAAAGAAAATGTAAAGCACTGTAAAAGGTGATTACCTGCCCATTTTACACAACACGTCTTCATTTGGGACCTGAGGGAATACCTGGTATGTAAAGAATTGGCTAAAAGAGTGCACGGGGATACTGTAACCTATTGCTGGTGAGGCTGAGCCTTAGGGGAATGGCTTTGCTAGATGCCGCTGACCGAAATGATTGCATGACAATTTTGGCTGGAGGCACCATCCTATCATCTGATAATTGTAAACTCTGCATGTATAGTTTAGACTGAGTGATCCTGCGTGATCCAGACACGAAGAACGGTGAAGCCTGCTCAGCGTGCCACATCTATGCTTCGGCTCTTGGAAAGAAAGAAAAAAAGGAAAAAAAAAAGAATAAAACCAACAACAACTAGCATTTTTAGAGGAAACTTTCAGCCGCGCTATGATCCTGCTGCAATGCTCTAAAAGAGACTAACCAAGGGCTTTCTCATAAGGTAAGTGGCAGGAAATAATACCTTCCTAGGGAAGCACGGGAGCAGATAGATAAACATCAGGCTCGGAGCAATTCAAATCCAAAACAGGGGTATTTGTCTCTTAACATTTGATCTTTTTTTTTTTTTTTTTAAAAAAAAGAAATATCTTTAAGCAAAGCTGTAACTTTTTGAAGACTGGATCTTTTTAACAATTTGATGATAGGTTATGACTCACTTCCTTGTAATAATTACAACCAATTGGAACAATGGAGCTAGTTTGCAGGTGTTACCAGATCAGCAATTCTCAGAACATCAAATGAATGTTCTGTTACACTTTTTTCAAGTGTAAAGGCTGCAGGACAAAAAAAGATTTCATATTATGGCATGTCTTTTGATTTAGGCCATTGAATTCCAGTTCAAATTTCATATAGAACTGATTTGAACTGTGGAAAAGGACCAAGCGAATTTAAAAAGAAATTTTGTTTAAAAATTTTGTTTAAAAGAAACAAAAAAGTGGCAAAAACAAGAAATAAAGAAACTTCTTCCAGCAGATTATATTCATGGATTTTTAAGGTTTAAAATAACATACAGAACTACTTAGACACAAAAGTAGTCAGTGTAAAGAGAAATGCCATGACTATATACAATCTATACTAGAAACTGTGATTTTTTTAGACTAGAACTAATAGCATCACTGATGTTTGAGATTACGATTGCACAGAGCTCAAATAAGACCAGAGGATAAAAGAATCGTGGAAAATTACTATTGAAAGCACATTAGCAAATTAGCAAAGAGGTTTTTTTTTCTCGTTTCCTTGAAACTGTGCATGGATGTAGACGTTCGTTTCAGTTTCTAGAGTACTTTCTAAATATAAATATTCATACCAGTGCAGATTTGAAGGGAAGCACCCTAGTATATTAAAATGATTTAAAGAGTGAAATATGCCACTCCGGTAACGCCTCTGCACTGTTGGCTTAGGGCAGGATTGTTTTAATACTGAGCCCTTCTACTAAACCCTTCTGCTGAGTCAGATCAATGTGTTTATACCCCTCTTCTTGTCCTCATTTGCCCTCAACAAACAGACTAACCTGCCATTCCAAACAGGATGGACAGGAAAGACGTTGTCTTTCCAACTTTGGGATGAAAAGGTGGTCTCCTTTCCCTTTTATTCCCGCGTTCATACTTCAGCATCTCCCTTGGGCTTTTTCCCTGTGTCTGTCGGCCTCAGCGAGGGGTCGGCCAGTCGCGAGGAGCAGATGCAGCCGAGGCTCCTGTGCGTTGCTGTGGGTCAGGCACCGCGCAGGGAGACGCAGCAACCCACAAGCAGCACCCCTGCACCTCGACCTCTGCAGTGCTCTGGGTCTCCAAGCTTGCTCTGCGTGAAGCTCTGCTTCTCCTTCACCAAGGACGAAAGGTTTTATTTGCACACAGGTCCTGTGTCCTCGCTTGCAAGCTCTGAAAAGCAGGTCCAACATTAGCTTCAGATGTAGTACCTTCTAGCAAACCTTTTGACACAGGTACATTTTATACCCATTCGAACTATGAAGCCCATGTCTACTCAGAATGAAGAGTGGTTTTCTTTTTTTTAATACATCTTTTTTTTGGTGATATATGTGGGAGGGAGAGAGTGGGAAAAGAAGATTTCCAAATGCATCATAGCAGCTAAGAAATTGCTAGAATAGTTGGGATTCTGGAACAAATTCTTCAAGAAAAAGGGAAGATTATTGTGAAGATTCAATTTTTCAGGAAAAAAAAATAATAATGAAGTATAAAGGACGCATATGCAGCAAATGACTGCACTGTTGGCTCCAATTGAAAAATCTTTACTTATGGTGTGGCCAAATACAGCCTCCAAGCAGAATCTTGCTGTGTGGTATCATATCATAAACTGCAGACAAGGTGAATTGATAATGGTGATATCACTCAGCTGTACTATCGATATAAATTGTTTAAGATTATGGAGACTGCCACAACTGCTCATAAAAAGCTTAGAACTGCCACTTACAGGGCTCTTACAGTTAAGCAGACAAAAATACTTTAAATTTTAATTTCCCAGATTATGTGAAGCTCTTGAATAGTTCCCAGAGTGGTTTGGGGGTACCACAGAAATCAAGCATCTTGCAGCAGCAGGATCAATTTGCAGATGAATCGAAACAACCTCTTGGCTAGAGGTAGTAAATCAGGCCATCTCATGCAGCTAAAAATCTTTGTGTGTTCCCTATTCTTTGTGTGTTGAAATGTGTAATTTAGCCAAATTCTTGGTGACTTCAGAAAAGCTTTAAATCAATAAATCAATACAATTGAAAATACTGTCCCTGCAAGAACTCTTAGGATATGAATGCTCAAGAACTAAGACTATTCATACAGGTACGGTGAGTTATATGAAAATTATTATATGAAAATTATTATACTGGATGGATGGTGCTAAAAGGTTACAAAATGGAAAACTATCCATCACACATCCTGAAAGTGTCTCACAGAAACAAAGTCTGTAAGAGTTATGTCTTATTCTAGTTGTTCTATGCCAAAAGACAGGGCAAAGTCACAGATATGACATTAGAGTGTGTATAGAATTAAATGATAGTCAGCAATAGATTTGAAAGATCAAATAGATGTTGAACAAACAAACAAAGACTTACACAGTGGGAAGAAGATACTGCTAAGCTGTAGGTGGTTAAGATGCATTGTCTTACAGCTGAAATCAGCCTCTCTCAAAGTTCAAACCATGTAGTTCACATTTGCGTCCTTCAGCCATGACCATAATGTCTATATTCATTTAATACCCCATTAAATAAAAGAAAAAACAATGAACTGGTCCTGTTCAGCCTGGAGAAGAGAAGGCTGAGGGGGGACCTGATCAGTGTGTGTAAATACCTCAAGGGAGGCAGTGAGGAGGAGGGGGCAGCCTCTTTGCAGTGGTGGCCAGCGATAGGACTAGAGGAAGCGACCACAAGCTGAGGCACCAAAAGTTCCACAGGAACTTAAGGAAACACTTCTTGACAGTGAGGGTGACAGAGCCCTGGAACAGGCTGCCCAGAGAGGTTGTGGAGTCTCCTTCTTTGGAGATCTTCCAAACCCGCTTGGACGCAGCCCTGTGCCACGTGCTCTAGGTGGCCCTGTGTGAGCAGGGGGGTTGGACTAGATGACCTCTGAGGTCCCTTCCAACCTTCGGCATTCTATGATTCTATGATTCTAACTTCTAAAATCACTTGAGCTATCATAATATATAAGAAACATGATTATTAAAAAGAAATAGTAAAAAAAGGGCATTTCCTAAGGGGATGCATAGCTTTTTTTTTTTAAATAAAAGAGAGGTTTGTGTTACAGATATGAATCTCTGACCATGGGGGACTGGAATCTGTTGGGCAGCATCCTTGAAGAAGTGCACATCCACTCCACCATCGTCGGCAAAATCTGGCTCACGATCCTGTTCATTTTCCGCATGCTGGTGCTGGGGGTGGCCGCCGAGGACGTGTGGGACGACGAGCAGTCTGAGTTCATCTGCAACACGGAGCAGCCCGGCTGCAGCAACGTCTGCTACGACCAGGCCTTCCCCATCTCGCTCATCAGATACTGGGTGCTGCAGATCATCTTCGTCTCCTCTCCGTCGCTCGTCTACATGTGCCACGCGCTCTACAGGCTGCGGGCTCTTGAGAAGGAGCGGCAGAAGAAGAAGGCCCAGCTGAGGGCCCAGCTGGAAGACCTGGAGCCGCTCCATGAGGAGTACCGGAGGGTGGAGAGGGAACTGCGGAAGCTCGAGGAGCAGAAGAAAGTGAACAAAGCCCCCCTGAGGGGGTCCCTGCTGCGCACCTACGTCCTGCACATCCTGACCCGCTCAGTGGTTGAGGTGGGCTTTATGATAGGTCAGTATCTTTTGTATGGCTTTCACATGTCGCCCCTTTACAAGTGCACTCGTCCCCCCTGCCCTAACACGGTGGATTGTTTTGTGTCCCGACCCACAGAGAAGACCATCTTCATGGTCTTCATGAACAGCATCGCCGCCGTCTCGCTGCTCCTCAACGTGCTGGAAATCGCCCACCTGGGCGGCAAGAGGCTGCGCAAGTCGCTGGCGGGG